CTCTCCCAGTTCATATATTGGTGCATGCATAGATTACTAACAATCCTCATAATGAGTTTTGAAAACATGTTTGTGGTCAATATTACAATACCAATAAGAACAGAATGATTATATTTGCTGAAAACTTAATTCACCATGTGAGTCATAATTTTAATATTTACCATTGAAATTCCAAATTTCCTTTTAAGTTCTATCTTCCATATGTGAACAATGTGTTTTACAACCAGTGTGTATGCCATTTTGTGCACATCCACATAATTTAGCACTTATAGTTCTTCTGGATACAAAGAATTCAGTGCAATTAATGTAATTCAGTGCAATTAATATGAAAATGCTGTTAACCTTCAACTATTTAAATTTTGCCAATTACTTTCAATTTTTGTTTACTTTTATAAGTCAAGTTAAAAATGGAAATTCTTAGACACAAGCAGGAAAGTTCACTCTCATAGTCCAAGTGTCCAGGAGGCAGAGATGGTTATTGCTGTGATTGTAAGGACAGTCTACTCTACATAGTGACCTCTAGGCATCCAGGATTCCAAGAAAGACTTTTATTTTAAAAAACCAAAGGGTGTTCATATCTCCCTAAGAAATAGAGTTGTTGAACCAAAGTGGGTAAAATGATGATCTCTCTTACCAATTTTACCGTATTGATTTCCAAAGAACTGCGTATGCAACATGAGTCATGTTGTGTCAGGTTTCTCTCTTACATTTCACAGGATTTATTATTTCATACATCAAATACTCATTGAGTCTATTGAACTCTAGATGTCTGAAAGCATATATACTTTAGAGTGTACAGAGGACTGGAAACTGTGACAATGTATTCAGTGGTGTAGTTTTACCCTTCCAAAACTTCTCAAGTGCTAGATTATGATAAAATTTTGAATAAAATACCAATGTTTTAATAATTATTTAAGTAACTGATGATGTTTAAAATGTAATAATTTGTTTTTTTATGTGACTGTGTACATTCCTGAATATGTATGTGTAACATATGGGTATATAACATTGACTCCTCCAGAACTGGAATTACAGGTAGTTGTTTGCTCCCTGATGTGGGTGCTCAAAACAGAAACTGGGTCTTCTGCAAGAACAGTAAGTGCTCTTAACCACTGAGCCACCTCTCTAGATTCATGCTTGATTATCCTTGAAACATACTGCTGAGCACTTTTCATGTGTTATTTAGCACATATGCTCATTTTCAAATTGGAAATCAACCATGGAGAAGATGAAGTGGCTTTTTAAAGTCACTGTAAGAAGGAATAATTGACCAGGGTCCACACCTGGGGAAACCAGCCTAAATGACACATGATGACACATGGAGTGAGATTTTCTTACAGAGTAAAAAATAATTCCACAAATTGGCTTCCAAATGAGAAATACTGCCTGGAGCAGCACTACACATTATGAATATTTTAGGGACTCTGACAACATTTGAATTTACACAAATTATCAGTATGAGTTCCATTATAATTTTAGTTTTAGTAAAAAAATCAGTACTAGAAAATACTGTGTTTATAACACTAATCAGAATAATATTTTATTAAACCTAACTTTCCATGCTGCTTTAATAAAATAAAGATGGAAAAGTGCTTGTTTCACTGCTAACAGTAAAAATGTGATTTTTAATAATGTGAATAAATAACATGTGCTACAGTTATGACTGAGGGAATATGAAGCAGTTTCAGAGAAACCTGAGGTAAATGCAATGAACGACTGTAGTGGGGCCTTCCTATGAGACATAGCGGCTCATAGTCACAGCAGCTCTGATGAGGTTCTGAAGTGGGGACAGATTTAGGAGAGACAGCCACAGAGTGTGGCGTGTTGACGGTCCTGAAGGCAAGACACACCCTACAGATCCCAGAATATTATGGAAGGGAGGAGGGATACAGTCATAGTACAGGCAGTTGACAGGCTCTTGAACGGAGAGAGAGTCATTATTCCCATAAGACAAAGGGACAGTCTGACAAATTTCCAAAGGTGTGGGTAAGTCCTAGCCTACAGGCTGCAAGTCACATGGAATTTTTGATGATTGATTGATTGATTGATTGACAGGATGACTGACATTGATTGATTGATTGATTGATTGATTGATTGATTGATTTGCTATTTTTTAGACAGGGTCTCCCTGTAGTCCCAGCTGTCCTGGCACTTAGTATCTAGACCAAACCGGCCTCTATCACAGAGATCCATCTACCTCTGCCTTCAGAGTGTTAGGATTAAAGGTATAGGCCACTATGCTGGGCTTTAACAGGGAATTTTAAAAGAAAAACTAGGGGGTGGAGAGATGGCTCAGCAGCTAAGAACACTGAGTGTTCTTGCAGAAGCCCCGGGTTTTAATCCCAGCACCCGCATGGCAGCTAACAACTGTCCATAACTCCAGTTCCAGGGGATCTGACAGCCTCTTCTGACCTCCGCTGGCATTGCAGGGGACACGTGTGCACTTACTTACATGCAGGAAATACACAAATACACATAAAATAAAAATAATAAATAAAATATTTTACAGAAAAACTAGAACTGTAGGTTGTTTCAGAGCTGCGAAGGGGAGGGAGACTGCAGGGCCACAGCCAGCTTCATTAACTCTCTGTCCTAGAAACAGCTTCAAGAGGGCTTGGCCTGATTTGTCGGAGAAAGAGAGGAATCTGGAGAGGGTGTTACCTGATATCACAGACTTTCCATTTATATGAAAAATGACTATAGAACAGGAGTTAAAGGAAGATAGAATCCAAGGTTTGCTAGGTTGACCTCAGGTCTAACCACGCTGGGCTGAACTGGGAGATTGAAAGCACTCATTTTAATCTGAATAAAATCTTATGTGGTCTTTTAATTTATTTTTTAAACTTAATTGTTTTATTTTTATTTTATGTGCATGAGCATTTTGTCTTCATACATGTATCATGTTTTTTAAAATGCCTGCCGGAGGACAGAAGTGTATGTTGGATCCTCTGGAACTGCAGTTACACACAGTTGTTAGCCAGCATGTGGGTGATGAAAACAGTCCTAGTCCTCGACAAGAGCAGCCAGTGCTCCTAACTGCTGAGCCACCTCTTGAGACCTACTAGGTGATATTTGAAATATAATTAGTATGTAACTGCATAACTCAGAAGAAACTATGGAGTAGTTATAACATCAATTATAAATAGAATGACTATTCATCGGGTTAGTGCTGAAAATGCTATTAGTATCTGTACAAAATCAGAGAATTCAGAAATTACTAAAGCAGTATTATGAGGTTAGCTTGTTCTCCCTTGTACACAAAAAAGGTTTTGTAATTTCGAATGAGCTTTATTGTCTGGGCCATTTTGTGTGGATTTTAAGCCAGCTGTGTTTTAGGATATATTTGAGGATAATTTCACTGTCAGCTTCTTCCTAATGGATGAGGATACTTTGAAATTAATATGTACATCTTGATTTCAAGGATAACAGTAAACAGTTTCTATTTTTCTAGCAATCTGACATTAAATTCTGACATCAATAACTGTTTGTTTTCTATTAGCTTCTCAGAAATGCATGGCTTATCTAGACAGTGGCTCTCCACCTGTGGTCTTGAGCACAGCAGCAGCAGCTCCTGGGAGCCTGGAAGGCACTGGGGTTCCTGGTATCATGTGAGACTTCATGTATCAAAATCCCTGAGTGTGGGGCTCAGGACCCTGGACTATCACCTCCTCTCCAGAAGATTCTCACTTCAGATAAGTACTGAGAACACCTGAGCTAGAATCAATAAAGCCCCAAACTCACCACCTCCCTCTCCCATTACCTGGAGTTCTAATGACTCAAGACTCAGGTGACAGAAAGAAAATGAGGAGTTCTGGTCATTAAATTAGGTTACCATTTGCGGTGATCCTACTTTTCCAAAGAAACCCTGATGCAACCCTGTTCCCAAGGATGAAATATATTTTGAAAATCTGTGACTGTGACCAGGAAATGTCACCTGCACACCAAGTGTAGTCCGGAAACCACTCATTCCTCTGAAAAGTTTGAGCAACAGGGAGAGGGAACACAAGGAACCCTGAGAAGAAGGGTGGACCCCAGCTACAGGTAGAGCAAGTGGCAAGATTGGAAGAGGGAGAGAGCCACGGGTACACAGATCTGGAGCTGGGACCAGGAAGTGTGCGACTGCTGGGGCAAATGGCAGAGGGGTCCTACTGGGCATTCAGACCCTGGAGTACAACTGCCCAACCACAGGGGAAAGGGGAAAGCTAAGGGAGTCTGTGGGTGGGGCTTGAATGACTCATGACTTATGAAAAGCCATCTTTTTGGAAATCGCCTCCCTGTCATATAAACCATCCAAAACCCAAGATAAAAATGTGTTATGCCGGTTTGTCTACCCGTGTCAGGACCACAAGACCCTGAGAGAGTGAGGGCAGGTCAAACAGATACTGGGAAGGGAAAAATTTAGTGTAACACCAAGACATCCCGAGTGCTACCTACACATTGGGAGTGCTACCAAGATATTTGGGGTGCTTTTTCAGTTGTTGGATGAGGAAAAAGGGACTTTATGGAAGTTCTGACAGCTCTTTATACTCTTCAAATTAAGTTTTCAAAAGTAAGACTATGATTCTATCCTGGAAAGAAGCTCACCTTACTGAAAAGAAACAGAAAAGCTAAATCTATATATTTAATTTGTATAAGGATGTCAAAAAATGGGATTATTCAAACAAAACAGTGTATTGGTAACAATTGTTTTACATGTATGCATATTCAAAACCCACTTCCTGTGCTCCGTGCTCTGAATAGGAGAGACAAGGCCCTGATG